GTGGGGGGGGCAGCGGCAGTGCATTTCTGCCAAAGAGGCCTACATCTGATAGGCTTCTCGGCAGTCCCAGCCACTTCCTGATGATGAGTTTGCCAGCCTATCCATCTTGTCCACCACGGACGTATTATACAATAATGTAACGTTATATAGTTTCATTCATAATATAAAAGCCAAATAAAATAAATGTTTGCTTTTATTTATTTAGCAGAAGACAGAACAAAGAAATGTCATTTAAAACGTAAGGAAAAGAAAACACGGCATCGGTTCAGAGCTCCTCTGAGAGGATGTTTCACTCACGACATATTCGTTATCGCTGTAAACTTTTAGCGCTTTTCTGTTTTTGATAGTAAAGTTCAACATAATGTGGTAATGTGGCTCTGACCACAAACGGACATATTCTGACACTAAAACATTGCTGCATCGTAGTGTTCTTAGAGGAACGGTGTAATGGCAAAGACTCAAAGTAAGTTTACATTATTTGTAGCTCATTGATGCTAATCAACTCGTACCTTTATCAAGCATGGAACACCTGCATTGTCTGACTTCCGCTTTCTAACCCCTGTCTCAGATCAATCACGTCGGCCCGGTGCCGTCATCCTACTACGTTTGGGATCACGTGAACTTGGAGTATGACCAGTGTTTGACGATCAATCGAGGCTCTACCAGACAAATGGACTATGAGATACTGTTTCCGGGCTGTGTCCTTAGGTCAGTGTCCTGCTGTTTTTATGTATTATTATTATTATTTTATTTAGGCCATTACGCCATTATATCAAACGTCTAATAAAATGTCTTAAACGAGAACTGCAGTGCTGTTGAAGTTATGGTTGATAAGAACGATTTATTTATTTTGATTTTGCATGTTTACAATAAAAGTATGAATATCCAATATTTAAAAAAGGTATTTAATAACACCATGTGTTTATGTGACACATAAAATGCAACAAAATGTTAAAAATGCAACAACATTTTAATAAATATACAGCAGTAGACGGTCTCTGCTTTATCTCTCCATTAGTTTATCATATTATCTGGTATGTAACTAAAATTCTTACAGTTTTCTTATGACAGCTTATCTCATATACTGACATTGATCCGTTATTGTGTATTTTTTTAAACTAAACTAAAAATAATGATTACGGCTAGAGAGAACATTTCAAACTTTGAAATGTAATAAAGCAGCTAAATAAATGAAAAAGTCCCTGATAAAACAGGTTACTTTACATATATATGGATTTATTATTTATGAATGTTCCATAAAATAGCAGATAATTTATTTGTTTACCAAGCAAAGATATCAGGGGCTCAAGCAAACTACAAATTAGTCTTGTTTTGAAGATGTGAAGTTGGCATTTGGTTAATTGGTTCAGGTGGCAGTTTGCCAGTGAGGGGGCAGACATCGGCTTTGGTGTCTTTCTGAAGGCCAAGAAGGGTGAACGGAAGAAGGCAGCCCAGATGGAGGAAGTGTTGCCCAGCCAGCGCTACAATGCCCACTTAGTTCCCGAGGACGGCTCACTGACCTGTGACCAGCCTGGAGTCTGTGAGTAAACCACTCTTTTAAACTTGTTAATCTTTTGTCCTTGGCCCTGGGTTGAGTTTAGCCCCATCTATAAACACTGTGTCTGTTTTCCTCCACAGATGTGCTGAGATTTGACAACACTTACAGCATTTTCCAGGCCAAAAGAGTTAGTTTTACATTTGAGATCCTGCTGCCAGACCACCTACAGCCCCCCCAAGTGAATGGAAGTTCCTGCAACAGCACACAAGCTGAAGGCAACAGTCTGTCATAATGCAAGAAGATGATCAACAACACATCAGTGTTGTTGATTAGCCAAATGTTTGCACAGCCTGTAATAATTGATGTTGACAGAAGCAAGTTCACCAAAGCGGTTTCACACCCGTGGTCTCTACAGTGGTATCAGGTTCATTATCTAAATATCAGGGGCTTGCTGGTACGCCAAAGACAGTGGTATGTACCACGATGTTGACGTCACAATTCGGTTCAAACAATTATTTATAAAGACTTTTTTTTGTACAAATTTCAAGTACCGTAAATACATTTTTCGTGTGGTCAGGTGTTGCTGCTAATTGTGTCCCTAATTGTGTCGCTAAGTTTAGTTAAAATTGCGGGAAGCAAATGAACGACACGAGCGAGCAGCACTTGGTTCCTGGGTCCTGTCACAAATGTCTACCGGAGGAAGTTGGGACTTTTTTTACGCAACGCACTAACACAGATACCGTCAACACATTCCGAAAGTATAAGGTTACTCACGTGAACCAAAGATAAATTAATAGCAGTGAATAAGTACGTTTTCAGACTATTTGATTGAAAATTGTAAAGTTTCACACTAGTGTGCCGCAACACAGTGGTTGAGAATCAATGAAGTATACAGTTAGGGTAGGAAGTAAATACAAGTAGTTCTTAAAAATGTATGTTGATGACCCTGCTGTAAGTCACCAAAATAAATTAAATTTAAAATTAAATTTTGTGTGTGTTTACACCTGTTCACCTCTGCTGTTTGGCTGCATCACGAGAAAGTATCTAGTGCGCACGAGAAACATTTCTCATTTTTTCCCCATGTCACTTTAGGGGCTCAGTACAATATTGAGCGCTTTTGTTATGAAGTCAGCATATTTTCGGAACATAGACTTACAGCACTATATTTACAACTGTATTTATATATTGTAAAACATGTTGCAAAACACATTATATTAATATTACCAAGATGTATGTGTATAGCAATTGTTCCTTCAACAATTCTGTGGTACTACATAGACATAGTCCGTCATCAATAAAATCTGTTTGGACACAATTCTATATTCTTTGTAGATGGTGTGCTCTTATTCCTTCACATACTTAGGTGCCTTATATTTTAAGAAGCCCCGTAACATAGCAGAAGTAGATCCATTATCTGTTAAAATAAATTGTAGATACAGTAAATACTCCAAACACAGACACAAGAGACAGCACCCACTGCCAGGATCCATGGATATTTTATATACAAAATATTGTTACAAGTTCATTGAACATATGTAACATTAGAATACTTTTTTTTTTACATACATTTGATCCATTCTTTTATTTAACAGTAGATACATGAAAAAGAAATCACAATTATAGTCAAGTGTGTTATACAATAAATACACCTTCATAGGCCTTTTATTTAATTATTAATATATTTTTTAACAAACGTTAATTTTTTTTAAACAGTGCAAGATCTTATTGACTACAGCTATGGCCACTGACACAAACGGCCAAATCGACCAGTTAATTCATTTCAATTACATAAAACTCTACATAACATTTGGAGCCCAAATGCAGCTAATTTTGGCAAAAGTCACAGCAGAAAGTAGGATAATGTGTGGCCAGTGGCCACGTCTGCAGACCAGTCGGTAGCCTAAGATTTATTTCATAATCCCATTTTCTCCTCAGAGCACTGGAACTATTTCGGGATAGATGAGACACTGGGTCCAGTAGCGGTGAGTTTACGTCGGGAGAAGCTGGTATTCTTTGTAGATGGTGTGCTCTTATTCCTTCACATACTTAGGTGCCTTATATTTTAAGAAGCCCCGTAACATAGCAGAAGTAGATCCATTATCTGTTAAAATAAATTGTAGATACAGTAAATACTCCAAACACAGACACAAGAGACAGCACCCACTGCCAGGATCCATGGATATTTTATATACAAAATATTGTTACAAGTTCATTGAACATGTAACATTAGAATACTTTTACTTACATTTGATCCATCCTTTTATTTAACAGTAGATACATGAAAAAGAAATCACAATTATAGTCAAGTGTGTTATACAATAAATACACCTTCATAGGCCTTTTATTATACTCTCTCTCTCTCTCTGTGTGTGTGTGTGTGTTGTTTCAGAACTGAACTGAAGACTCAGTTGTAATATTACGTCATTGTACGGCATGGCTTTGGCTGATGAACAGTCTTTTAATCTAACCAGGAATACATTCTCTTTATCATATACTGAGCTTGCATTACAGGGCAGGTCTGTGCTGCAGTTTTTTTTAAATGTTGGTCCAACTGCAGGTTCTTGAAATGCACGTTTTGAATGGCTGGTTTTCATTATAAGATGTCCTATTTTTATCATTTGTCCGAAACTTTAAACATTTCCCACAACAGTTTGCACACATTTAATTGAAATCTCATACTTGTCAAATATTTATATTTTAATTAGGAAAAAGTAGGTTCCACCTAAATGTGACACCATTTTTTTTTCTTCTCAAGTACGATTCCTGAAGTAATTATTTGAAGCCACTGACTCAGTTAATGTCAAGTTACTTTGAGAGTTCGGTTCAAGGCTGTCGCCCAGAACATCGGCGATGTCAAAGTTATGGTTTAGCAGTCGTGGTGTCTGTCAACATGATACTTCCGGCGTTAAACACTGACATGATGAAGCACTCACTGTAGCAGTACCGGGGTCCAGGATGTTTGTTCAAGTTTTCGGGTGACACGTCACTACTAGAGATTATTCTCACCGTAAACTCCCATCGGCCCATGTGGCAACAGGATCAAGTATCACGTGGTCCAACTCACTCGGGTCACCAGCCATGGTTATGAAGACAAAGTTGGTTTTCATCCAGACTGAATTGGTTGAAGTATCAGTAATTGACCATCAGACTGTGCGTTCATCCTTTAACAACATTTTAGGGCATGAACCTCCTTCTGATATTGCACTTTTCTCACCAATCGACCTCCATGTCGAATATTTTATCACACGAAATCAAAATGTTTGCTGAAATCTAAATAATAATCAGTCCTACTTTTGAACCGAAATCTGGACTTCTCTCAGTCTTCAGTGTGTTTCTAATTACCTTCTGATCCTGGGACAGTGCCCGGGCTCATCTTCCCTCTTCCACGGGTCGACTTTCTGATTTCAGCTTGACAAACTCCTTGGCCACCTCGTCGGCGGGTCGCTGGGACAGGATACGCATCACTGTTAAGCCCGTCTCGTCGGTGTAAATGCTCTTCCCCAGAGGACACCAGCACACGCAGGTCTTGCGGTCGGCAACATCCCGCAGTTGGACCACGGCCATGCCAACCACGCGGTCCGCCCGACCGAAGCAGTAATCCTTCACCGTCATCTGGATCTCGTAGCACTCCGGCGACTCTTTTCCCAGCATGCTTTAAAATAAAACACAACAGGAACCAAATCACCCTTCAGTGAATCTCAGGTAAACAAAAATAAAATAATTTAAAGACGAAAATAATCGCTCACAACTGGAAAGCCTCATTGAACTTTGCTGTCCAGCTGTCGAGAGACTTGACATGACGGACTGCCTGTCTTCCTGCCTGTCTTCATGTCATTAACCGAAATGACTGGAGACGACAACTGACGTGAGGTTTAGTAGAGAAGAACGCGAACGTCAGTCATCGTTAAAGCTACGGTTTGGAACAATTTATAATATAAAATAAAATAATTCATACGTGTGTACACAGGTGTCCACCTACCTTGATGGTCTCCAGTCCTGCATCGATGATGATGCACTGCTTGGGTCTCATAGTTTTGGCTTCACCTCCTCCCTGCACCAGTTCAAACATTAAACATAATTTCCTCAAAGGAACAACATTTAAAAAGATAATCATTTCAACAATACATTATGGTATTATTCGGTACAAGCGTTAAGTTTGTTTGAGTGCTGCGTTGGGTTTGCGTATGGCCAAACTACCTCCAATGAACAGCCCGTGTTTGTCACCTTTATATTTGAGAGTCCTTTGGCTGCTGAGAGGAGTTGGGCTCCCTGAAGGAAAAGATGGAAAGAAGAGAGGGGGATGAATTACACTGAACGGTTGTAAATCGCTTTCTGAAAAAAAGTTTTCTCTTTTTCAGCCAGCAGATGGTAGCAGAGCGTTATACAAACAAAACCAACCGAGTGTTTTGAATCCTCTTTGAATCCTCGCGGTAAGAGTACTTTGGTACAAAATGTAGCCACAGATAGTGTCAGATATAGACAATATATTCATTGTATTACGTTTCCATATCAATTTATACAGTTATTGAATGCTGTTATTGTGCTGTACTAAAAGGAAAAGTGCTGAAGACAGGTGTGCATGCTGATAGTTTACATAACAGGATGATATGGACAGCACTGAATGGTACCGACTGTTACACTTGGAGATAGAGACAGGGCACAGAACCGGTCAGAACTGGTTTCTTTGCCCAAATAAGGAGACCAACGGAAGACCATCAAAAGACAAAGAGAGAAAAACATCTGAATTGCATGGTCTTATCTGACTTGATTAACTACAGCACATGCACATAGCTCCTATTGGTGGAGAATCCTTGTTTGGAGCAGTCTTTACCAATCAGTGCTCAGAAGTTGCGCGAGAACACCACATGGCTGTAAAGGGTTAAGGTGAATAGGTTGAAAAACTGTGACTGAAGCTAGTCAAAAATATAATCTAGTCCTGAAAAAGGTAATGATGTCTGGTGAGAGGTCAGGAACCGTTCAGACTTTCCTACTAAAAAAAAACTAATAGTGTCTAATGTGAGGT